GCTGAAGAGTAGTAAGGAAGCTTAAAATGGAACATGCTGGTGCCATTTCTCAGGACGTTGCATATCCCGGCATGACACTTAAGAGTTCCATAACCTCCGTCAGCAGCAGCTTGTCCCTGCCCGTCGCCCAAAAGCAGGCCCAAGGTGCCCTGGGGCGCTGTGGAGAGGAGGTGCCTGGCTACAGTTCAAGAATGTAGTGATGCAGGGGAATCCTGTGAAGCCTCGGGAAGTCTGCTGCATCTGCTAGTCTTTCCCCTTCGCGTGTTCTCCCACCAAATAGCTCACAACTTCTCTTGATCAATACAGCGAGGAGGCTGTACTTGCAATCCGTCATACAAGGATCAACTTTTATTATTTCAGTTCTGCAAAATAGTCAATCTGTAATTTTCTGGCTGTCCACAGGAAGGTCTTGGTGTATAGTGTACAGATGGAGGAGTTTGATTCTACAGTGAAATAGGGTTTTCCCACAGACTCCCCTAAATCATGTAGTTCATGTGAACTTCACTTATTCCTTGGAGAACATAGAAATGTGACTACTGAAGTAATTATTGCGTTATAATGGATGAGAAAAATGGCATAGTCATTTCTTGGTGGTAAATTTACTAACTGCATCTCATGAAAACTCAATAGAAAACCTGCAATTACCTATTGCGGTTACCCCTGGTTATACTGTCCTGAGTGTGCCTGATCTCTAATCTTAAAAACTTAGAAGGGTCTTTGGATGGGAGTATTGGATGGGAGAGGCAGGAAAGCCTGGGCAGGGTACTCTGGGCTTTCGGCAAGTGGCCAGGAAGGTTCAGAGACTGGAGCGTTTCTCACGCATGCAGAGACTGGGAGTACTGGGCGTCTTCAGCATGGAGAAGAACAGGAGCAGGCAGGATATTATCACTCTGTGTAAGTGTCAGAAGGGAGGAAGCAAGGGTGATGCTAGGTGGTACCTAGTGCCTTTGATGGGCACAAATTGAAATACAGGAAATTAGATTTTTAAAATAAGAAAACCTGTGCTAAAAGGGTGATTTTACCCTGGAATAGCTTGTACAAAATCTCCATCCTTCAAAACTTGACTCAATTATCCATTCTGTTATTCCATGAATAACGCCTGCACATATGTGCGCGTGTGTGTATATATTGTAGTGTTAGATAACATATATTTTTTAATTCTGATTTTTAAAACTACAGTAGGAAAAGCATACTGAGTAAAGTATATTTATTCAGCCCCTTTCTCCTCTCTGCGTCATTCCCAAATCCAGCCTGCATGAATACTCCAGATTCCTGTATCATTCAGTTCCATGAAGGAGGGGGTTGATTCCACTCTTACTTTTGTTGTTTTCAATCTGGTGATTCCATGTGAAAGAAGATGAAATTTAAAAAAAAAAAAAAAGAGAGAGAAAATTTAACCCAACATCTCATATAGTGAACAAGGTTTCAAGTTACCTTAATTTAAAAACATGGATTTGATAGATCCATGTTTTGATAGGCTGAACAACAACCTGGGTCTTAACATGTTAGTTCTTTTCTTTAACAGTATCTAGAGTGTTGTCAATCAGTTCTGCATTTTGGACCATTTAAATCACCCACTCAGATTTAAAGGTTTGATACAGCTCATGGTGATGTGGTACTTTTAAAAGTATCTACATAGCCTAGACCTAGGCAGCCTAATGAGCCCAATGCTGAATTAACTTTAATGTGGTATTGAGATTCATCTTTATTTCTGCAAATCAAACCAAACTTAACTCTTCCTTTTTTTGTTTGTTTGTTTGTTTGTTTGTTTTAATTTGTACTTGTATATACCTTCCTGGATGCATTTGGTGTAAGTTGAATTCTCTTGTTGTTGTTGCCGTTACTGTCAGACACTAAAAATGGTTATGATTCTTCTTTTCCTTTGTGGTCATTCTAATCTTGTGTGTACATTTTAGATGTTCAGGCAACTTTTATTACTTGTAAATTCCCTTTCTCTAGTGTATTTTTCTGAAAATACTGTATTCCTTTGTGTTTGCAATGTCTGGTTTGTTCAGCCATTTGGGTTGCTTCAGTGGTAAAGCAATTACTCTGATGATTTGAGGAGAGCTTACTTTGGAGAGAAGAGGTCTAATGAAACAAACCCTAGAATCATAGCTTACTTGTCAGCTCATTTTATGAAGCTGGAAGAAATTAGACAATTGCTTTTTATGTTGGATGACTCCTCCTGATACTTATGTATAACTAAGAGGGGAGGAAACGCTGACAAACAAGATATTCTTGAACTGAGGAACTTAAAAAATCACATAAATCTGCCTTATTGACTGTCCCCATAAGAAGCTGTTGGCTATAGCTGTTCAACACACAAAATACAGTGACAGAATCAATATATTTTGCAGTGTGATGAGTTTTAGATTCTCGTGCAGAAAATACCTTGTAATATTGTGTCTCAATAAATATTGAAATAAATGATCTGATTTTAGTCATAGTGAAGGAGAAGTTCAAGTCATTTTACAATCTTAAATTTTTTGTGGAATCATTGATTTATTAAGCATATACTATTTCATAGCTATAGGTGAAATAGCTGGAATTGATAAGATTGATAAGATCTAACAAAGATAGCTTTCTATTGCTTTACTTGTCTTCATTATCATACAATATTCATGTATTTTTTCCTGTGATGGATACAATTGTGTTGAATGGGCCAAAGGTTTATTTGCCTGTCTTGTTGATCGTATTTGCATATACAGCTAACAGTATTTTTGGAACAAGCAACTATATCTAGTATTTTTTTTCTGCTTAATTACTTCTTTATTTTCAGGTCGATATTGTATATGTGATTCATTTAAGTTGATGTCCATGTTGCTGTTCTTTATTAAAATGTAACCTTAAGTAACTGCAAAAATAAGTTGGAGCAGCTCAAAGATATGTTGAATTTTAGTTTTCATCTACCACTGCTTCTCTGCTGATCCTTCAAAATGCAATTTCTATCAGATTTTGGTAATTAGAATGCAATCTTCCTTGTAGAGGAGTGCCATTGATAGAGGATTTCTTTTAACATGATAACTCAGTGATTTTGAAGTATAATCTGCATAATCTGTGTCACATACCATTTCCTACTGCTTGTACTCCTAAAAAAACATTACTTTGCACAGTGAAGTGTCTCACATTCCCATTCCCTGGTTTCACTAGGGCTTAGCAATTTTCAGCCTGGTTGGAGAGCTGGGAATGTGTATGTCTTACTTGAATGAGGAAAATGCCATGTCCTCATCTAGCATTTTAAACAACTAATTAAAATATTCTGCAGAGTTTAGAATGAACGTTATGAGTACAATTTTGTAAATGTTCTTGACCTCAGTGTTCTGATGGTTACGAGTAACATTATGAAATTTGATAAGTGCTTTTCGCCACGAATCTGTGAGGAAGCTGTGTTATTGCATGGAAAAGAAAATTTATTGCTAATGAAAAAAATAGTCCATCTGAACTTCTTCTGTTTTTTTTTTCCTTTTCTTTCTTTCTTTTTTTACCCTTTTCTTTCTTGTTCTTTCCATTTTTCTCTTTCCTTTAACAGTATTGCTGACATCATTGAACACTATAGAAAAGAACAGATTGTTGAAGGGTATTACCTTAAAGATCCCGTTCCAATGCAGGTAAGACTATTTTTGAAGATACTGACCAGACTGTCATCAGATGTTTTTACAGTATAGGAACTCGGTGACAACAGAGATGAGTTACAGTTCAGATTTGTTTTTTTTTTTCTGTGTGTGTGTGTGTGTGTGTGTGTGCATCTCGTTTTATCCTCACACACATTCACTCATGAAGAGCCAGCTCGCAGTAGGTGCGAGACGTTGGTGAGCTCTGTCTGTGCTGTAATGTGTGGTGGCTCTGCCCAGTGCCTCAGTGTCTCGCCCCTGACTGCACCATCCTCTGCCCTAATTCCAGGTCATGTTAGGCCAGCCTTCTCTTTTTTTTTTTTTTTTTTCTTTTTTCTTTTTTCATTCTCACGGCTGTGAGCAGTATTACGCTTGCTGAAGGAAACCTCTATGCACAGAAAAGCCTCTGGGATGATCAGCAGGGCTAGGGTTGGCAGACGTGGTCCGGAGTTGCTCCGGAACGTAGGTTGGTCTGAAGAGACCACCAGCAATAAGGCAGCTGCATCGCCTGTCTATTCCATGAGCTTTTAGCTTGTTCTAAATTGCATCTGTCCTTTCCCTCTCCATTCCGAAGATTTCCCGTGCGATGGTTAAAAACTCGGGTTTGATTTCCAGCCTAAGTACTCATTGTTAACTCATACTCTTTGTTACAATTGGAAAGAGGGCTTTCCTTCAGGTGCACTAATACAAGAACCCTTGTATTCTCTGTGAGCACACTAAGCTGAGCATACCAAGGTGTTGTGGTTTTGTTTTCCATTTTTCCTTTCATAATGTGGGTGTATTTGTGCTGCTGCCACTAATTCCAGTTCAAGTTCATGTTTCTTGAATGTGATGGATCAGAACAGCTGGTGTCCCATGTTATTAGTAATTCCATTTCTGTGGGAAATACTTGCCAGATGTATTCTGGAAAATCATCTGTGTTATTACCATAGCCACATTATACGAATAACTTAGTCATTCTGTGAATGACTCAGCCATTCAAGTTTCTCATCCCCAGCTTTGTACTGGTAAGTGTTAGCAGGTGCAATGTTTGTGCTGGTAGATGTAAATCCTACTGTTCAGCTCTTTCCTGTGTTGCCAAATGGCCTGTGTGTCATCAGTGCTTCCCAGTTGTCTGGTGCTCTGCGGTTGAGAGGAAAAGTGAATTCCAAGACTAATTGTGGAAAAACTTCACTGGTACCTTCCTCGTCATCCATAGTTCTTTTTGATCATGACAATCATAATCTTCATTTTGGCTTTTTGCATATCCACTTACAGTTTCTGTATTACTAATTTTCCATGCCATGATATGTTCTTATGTGTGACTTGACTGCATCAAATTCTCTTAAGTTCCTTATATTCTTGACTTTTCCTTTGTTTAAAAAAATAATAGTTGGATTGCATTTTACCTTCCTTCCAGATACTGTCACATCTTGTGTTACTGGAGGAAAAAAATAGGTTTGGGGTATTATCAGGGTCAGTGTAATGGGTTTACTGTTTCTCATTTAATTATCTTTAATGTCAGTGCGCCCATTTACCCTCACTCCATACATTACGGTGTCTAATTTGAAATATATTTTTAAAGTTGTTGTCACTGGTTTTGGTGTGTTGTATGCTGTTCCCGTCATATTAGATTATGAATAACATCAGTGTTTTTTTTTTTTTTTTTTTTCATATTGCTTCTGGTTTGGGTGCTGTAATTTCCATTACCAAAGTGTTTTTCATCTTGTCTGTGTCATAGTGGGGAAAGGGAATAGGGGAGGGAAGCAAAACAGAATATTTTGTATGGAGCCTGTGCATATATCACTCCATCTCAGTACTCTTCTCCCTGCTTGACAATTTTGCTTTTTCATGTTTTCTTATTGCTAAAGATCTTTTGCTGATCAGCATACTCAGTAAGGTCAAACTTGACTTGACTTTTGGCCGTTCTTAATTAATATTTATACTTTCAAATCTTGGCTTTCTGTGTGAGTTTATCTATTTTGCTTTTCCTGTTTCTGCATTCCCTTGCTATCTCCTGTTAGAATGCTTCTCATTTGAACAAATGAGTTCTGATGTGATCAGTGAGGGCTTGTGCAGCCGTGTTTGTGAACTGATCTTCTTGTTACTCCAGAGTTAACTATAATTAGTGAGTCCCAAAAGCTTTAGCGGGAGACTATTAGGAACTAGGTGATCGCTTAAGATTTGTATAAAACTTAGTAAAATAACTATGAAACATTCTTTTTTTTAATGATAAAAGACACAGATGCTACTTTGTAAAGATTGGTCTGTATTTAAAACTTTTTTTTCCTTCTCATATGATGATTCGATCTAATCATTACACAAGAAATCATTTATATTACATTTGGTATTAAAAAATATATTGTTTTTCTAAAATACATGAAAGAACAGTAGTGGAGAGTGGTAGTTTCAATAAAATGATTTTGGTTGCAGCTTGGTTGTGTGCAATTGTTTCACAGCAATTTCTGACCTTAAAAGATGTTGATTTCTTCCTTGTTTACCAGCATCAAGAACAAATGTTTAATGATACAGTGGATGGAAGAGAAATCTACAATACAATTCGTCGCAAAACAAAGGATGCTTTTTATAAAAATATTGTCAAAAAAGGTTATCTTCTAAAGAAAAGTGAGTTCTATTTAGTACTTCGACATGTTTCACCAAAGTTCTGTAGTGGGCTTAATATGGTGTTGCCATTAGAAAGGACAAAATTGATGTTAAAATTGAAAGGTTAGGGAAAGCTTAAAAAGAAAAAAGGTGTGAAATCTTCTTTTCCTTCAAGTATGTTAGCAGAAAGACATAATGCATAAAACCACACACAATGCAAAATTGCTGATTGTCAGTTCTTCTGAAAAAAAAAAAATCGGAGAGCAGCCCAAAAACAAAAGTGACATTCAGATTCATTAAATTGAGTGTATTTTCAAGAAAGTCACACTTAATATGGAACACAATTCAATTTTAGCTGATAGATTTTGTTAGAGATCTAGAATAAAATGAATCAGTGCATTCATTGGTGATCAGAGCTTGTTTAATTTTGTTATTCCAAGCTAGCCAAATAAATAATCTAAAATGTATGTAATGGACTGCAAGATACAGAGCCAAAACCTTCAAAAATGCAGTCAATGTAACATAAATGTATTAAAAACTGACTGCTTGACAGATCTCCATGTATCTCTCCCTTAAGAATTATTATTGAGCAAGTTTTTGGATTTCTGAGGAAGCTAGTTCACTTGTTTTTGTTGCATTGATTTTTAATCACCTGTAATGGGCATAGGGGAAACTGTAGTAAGTCTTTTCAGATGACTACGACCATAGTTAAGAGGATAGGTTACAGATAGTGGTCCGAATAGCAAATAAAACTGAGAAAGAAGAGTTAGCAGTTTTGTAAATATAGCCAAGTGTAAAAGAGACTTTCAAAGGAAAAAAAAAAAAGCTTCTGAATAGATCAAGAGTCTCTCCTGTTGGGAGTGCCAATTCCAAGAGATGATGGGCAGGGATGTGGCCGAGTAAGGAATGGGCTGAGAATGAACTTCAGATCTTTCGCTTGCAGCAGTAACGACATGTTTTAAATGTACAAACAGGAGCCCTGAGCGCGTTACCTACATATAGAACAGAAATTCAGTAAAATCACCGTGCCATTTCCGAGAGCAAGTATTCTAACAGCGTGTTAAAATTGTCTTTTCAAAACAGTACTAATGCATGTGTATTGAGGGCTACGGTGGATTAGTAATCATAATTTAAAATTAAGCCTGAGTATTTTTCTAAGAGGTATTGTGGTTTAAGTGTGAATTAGTTATGGAGAGTTTCATGTCTGTTTTAATTCGGAGGGCCTTATGACTTAGTCAATAGCTAAATCCACATTTTACATATAATATGTCTTCCAGCAAAGCTTGAAGTTAAATCCCCAGCAAATAAAATTCCGCTTTTCACATTTTTGTCTGAATGTCTGAATTCTTGGATGTAGGTGGATTTGGGACATGATTCTGATCCAAGATTGCATTTATTGTATTCCCATTAGTATTCTTCAGTTGTACCGTTTTTAAGATATTTTGGTACAGTTAGTTGTGTACTGGTGAGCTGATAGGAGTTTGGGAATAGTTTTCACATGTCAAGAGTCCATTTTTTAAGGGATGGATCACTTGGTTTCCAAAAATGTAGTAGTGCTGTATCGGCACTTTTCCCATGGATGTGAACTGAACGGACCAGGCAGATAGTATGCATTTACTAAATCCTGTTGGAATCTCTGAAAATGTTATAAAACTGTCTGAAGCTGTGAAAAGGGTCTAGTTTTAGCTACTTATTGTGTGGAATGGAGTGCATATACTAATATTATCACTTGGGTCTATTTAACTGTGAACTATTGTTTATCATTTAACAAAAACCTTGCTGCCACCTTTCTTCACTTAGACTCCGTGCATTTTGAAAAAAAAACATTATTGTAACTTTTTACTTACTTTTCTACAGGTAAAGGAAAGAGGTGGAAAAACTTGTACTTTATATTAGAGGGAAATGATGCCCAACTTATTTATTTTGAAAGTGAAAAACGAGCCACAAAACCCAAAGGATTAATAGACCTTAGTGTGTGTTCCGTATATGGAGTACACGACAGCTTGTTTGGCAGGTAGGATGGTGACTTTTAATTTTCAGCACTCTAACTGCATATAAGGCTGTAGAAGTCACATACATGTGTTGATTAGTACGTGATCCTGTACCTATCTCACTAGTTAAGAGAGCTGATAAATAGATTCAGATGTCTTATGTTAACACAGCTTCCTTGAGTCCTAAAAGACAAAGAACAACTTCAGAATGCATGATTAGTTGCTTGGGAGCTAGTGCTGGACACACTGTGCATCTTTAAAGTGTGTGTGGGAACAGTCCATGTTAGCCGCTCTTTTACTTACGGGACGATTTGCTTTGCCCTAACTGCAAGTCAGTGATACGTGCATCTTCGGTACAGGCTGTTGAAGAAGCTTAAGGTTTCTAGAACATGCTAGTTATATTAAAGTACAGCATGGTTTTTATTGCATAAAATGAAATTGCATAATTTTTCAAACAAAAATGCACTTTTGATACACCTGACAATTTTTCCTGTTTCTGTGTATGGTTACACTTTCTTACAGTCAAATAGCAGCTGTATAGATTTGAACTTTATTTTGTCAGAGATAAACACGTGAAGATATTTGTCAATATTTGTCAATATTTTTTTTTATCCTTATTTTAAAGGCCAAACTGTTTTCAAATAGTAGTTCAGCACTTTAGTGAAGAGCATTACATCTTCTACTTTGCAGGAGAAACTCCAGAACAAGCACAGGTGAGAGTTTTTGTTGGTAGATATAACTTTAAAAGTAACTTTTTTTGTCTTGTAGCACTTAATGTTGTTATTCTTCTGTGACAGGAAGCAAGTATATCACAAAGAAATCCTGGCTGTGTTTACATTAGCAAGTATTACCATGCAGTAGTAACAGATTTGTAAAGAAAGCAGCTGGTGCTGAGAAACCAGCACTTAGCTCCAGGCACCTTAGGGTTATACTTTGAACAAGATCTAGTCTGGTCATGCACACTGAAGTTCTGTTAGCCTTCCTAAATATATCTGAAGAGCCTTTTTAGAGTAATTTAATCCCCCCAAATTATTTGTACTCCAAGGCTTTTCTGTAATGCAAACTGGAGCATGGTGAGTGCAAGTGGTTGTAAGTTTTGTTTTAGGAGCGTATTACTGGTGTGAATTAAAATGTTCATATACATATGTCCAGAGATCAAAGCATACCAAGCAGCTGGCTTTTAAAATTATTGTTCTGTGTATAAAGCATTATTGTCTTTGGCCTTGATCTTGCACAGCAGGCAGGGTTTTCTGTATCATTCAGTTTTAGCTGATCTTATGTTTGATTAAGAATTACAGCATTGGGGGTTGATTTTTTTCTAAGTCTGTGGCGACTAGGAGAGCATATGTTGGATGTGAGTGTAGGGAGTCATCAAGTTGCACCAGCAGTCTGCGTTCTGATATGCGCCCATTGCATCAGAAATTAAGCTTTGTATTTGGTTTTCTTTAAAACAAACAATTGTATACTGCTATTCAAATGATCATGTGTAAAATTAATGTACTCTTCAAGTTGCATATACAGGGACACACAAATTTTCTTGTAAAACTGCTAAAAATTTACAAAAGTCACTGAAATGACATCAGAATAGTGCAGTGGCACTTGTCATGCAAAGATTGCCGTACTGTCTTTGAGAAGCAAATATACAGTATTCTAGTCAATATAAATATCTACTCTCATGAATGAACGCTTCGGTTATTTTCTTACATGTGCAATGTCTTGTGTTTTAAAATGGAGGAAAAAAGAAGTCTAATATATAGAATATCCTGTCTTGTTTCCTGAATAAGCCTCGGCTTTGAGGTCTGTCCAAAGCATTTCTGAACATAGCAATGTGAAGTGTAGCCTCATGCTAATATCTCTGTGCCTGCTAGAGGTATTATTACTGCTCATTAAACTGCTCGTCAGAGAGCTTTCCAGTTCTTCCGCTTGCAGAAGGATTTGAAAGCTCAGGCCTCACTCTAAGCAGTTTACTTGAGACTAGCTGCACTTTAGGCTGTTTCTGTGCTAATGGCAGAGGGTAATGTAAAGGATGAGGTTGAAATGGGTTTTCTAAACAATGTTAGTCAGTTGACCTTTGAGAGCAGCGAGCAGAATATTGCTGTGCAGACTTTGCCAAAAATGGCTTTTGTAGGCTCTAAGAGCAATAGTAGGCTTGAGGGTAGGGCGAGGACGTGAGGCCACTGTGTATCATGCATCTTTCACAGTTAAAGGCTCACACCAAGCTCCTTTGTCCCCAGCTGTTTTGCAGCTGGTCATGCTAGTTGGCAATGCCGCTCAGCAGCCTGTCTGGAGGAAAACCATGGGCAAAAACCTACGCTCAAGTCTCATGTTAGGCAGCATGTTCATGTGCCTGTTCAAAAGGAAATCTATGCACTCTATGCATTTGTAGGCAGACAGAATGGGGGTGCTGGGATACACTTTTCAATGTTTCACTGTTCAGTGTTAAAGCTATGTGGGTTTTGTTTGTTTGTTTGAAGTATATGCAGTAAAATCTGAGGGCAATGCAGAAATGCTGGAGAGAATGATTGCAACACATTTTTAATTTACTTTCTCTGAAGTGACCAAGGTTGTTTGGTCGTGTGCGTGTGTGGGGAGGGGGCGGGGAGGAGGGTCGGATTTTTGTTTTTTTTCTTTTCATTTTGTATACCATATGTAATTTAATGCAATGTTAGCAGACTGGAAAATTGGCAAAGGTGACACTGTGTATATCCATTATTAATGCTTGATATTTCTGAAAGAGAAAATCCTTCGTATTTGCAAATCCTTTATCCTTTATTTGGTTTTACCAAGTGAAGATATGAGTTTTGCTTTAATATGCAGATCTGCATACTTTTGAATTGCATAAAACTTTATGCCTTTTTTTTTTTCCCCTCAAAGAAGCTCTGTTGAACTTGTTTTGATGCTGTTCTGTGTCCTTCTCTCTTAGGACTGGATGAAAGCTCTGCAGATGTTCTGCAGTTTAAGAAAAACCAGTCCAGGGACATCAAATAAGCGTCTACGTCAGGTGAAGCTGTATAGATATTGTGCATTTGGGGGCAGAGGGGAAGAGTGTTTTGTCTCCCTGTTGCAAAATGATACTGATAAGTCTGAGTTTCGCTTTCAACACTGAATCCTGCATATACTTTTTTTCTTTTTTTTTTGAGTAATGCAGAACCCTTGTTAAACCAACTGAAAAAAACTGTTCTTTGCGATTGCGGGCATTTGCGAGGTGTTTTTGACCACTTTCGAGTTAAAAAAAAAAAAAAAAGTTGTTAGTATTTGTAGTGTCTTATTTCTTCTATTTCATCACATATGGGAAACTTTTTGGCAGACTTACATTACATGGAACAAGGATACAAGTAGAGCTATTTATTTTCAGTGTCAAGTGCACGTTGAACCATGCGTGTGTCTTAATTTATTTTAGGCTCCCAAGAGTAGTGTTGTGGCCAGAAGAGCTACTTAGAGGTAGAGAACATAGTCATAAATGGCAGTCTTTTATGATTAGAGAATAACAGGAAAGTGCTTAAAGAATTCCTGGTATCTTTGAATGCTAGGAGCATTGAAAATGACTGTTTTAATTAAACAAAATAATAATATGTGATGTTCTTCAGGAACTGCAGAATAATTCTGTGGTCAGAATATACTGAAGATTAAAAATGTTAAAGTTTTAATGCTTCTGAAGAACCAAATTTTGGTATGAAAATAGGTAAAAGTGTATAAAGACCAAAAAGAAACACTTCCATTTCTATATTTTCAGGGAGACTTGGCTTAAATTTAAGAGCAGAAAGTAGTGATCATAGCAACCTATGATCAATTAATTTGTTTGTCTGTTCTGCACATTACAGTGGGAGGGAAAAAAGGTGAATCAGCATTTAGCAAAGAGTGGTTTTATGGCATAAGCTGTCTTCTAGGGGAAGTTAAGGAAACCTTACTGTGAATTTTCATGTAAAGATGTATAAAGGGTTTCTTGAGCCTTTGTAACTTATGGCCCTGCGTGTTTGAATTTAAACAGAATATTGACTTGATTAAGTATATTTCCTGTGCTTTACTGTCTCATTTCATTTTAGCTGGTACTAATAGTAGATAGATATCTGTTTGATTGAATAATGTGTCATTTATAAATTTGTACAGTATTAGACCATTTAAAACATTTATTTTTACAGTAAAAGATTTCAGAGAATTCACTCTTCATTTTCTGGAAACTTTGAATTGCCAAGTGCTGTGATTTTTAGAATCCGTAGTATAGATGAATGTTTTTCTTTTCAGTGCCAAAACACATTGTAGTGTGTTGATTTTATAAAATGTGATAGGGAAGTACCAAGTATTCCATTGGGTTTAGAGCAATTCATGGGTCTTAAATAAGATGTGACTTTTATAACTCAAGGTTCATAATTCTAACTTGTCTGTGATGTGGACATCTGAGTCTGATGACTGACTTCAGTGGAATTTTCTGTGCATTTCCTAATATCTCATGAATATTGTAAAGGATAAAAATAAGATGTAATTAGAAACATACTAGAGATTTGTTTTCAATAGTTTTATTTGAATTGCTCTTAATTTGCCTTGTTTACTCAAGATTACCCTTGTTGCTGTTTTTTGTGTTAGGAAATTACAGTTTGTATTTGGTATTTTTATATTAACATTAAGCTTCTACAAGAGGAAAAATACTTTCTTGGATTTTTTTTGTTTGTTTTACTCTTCAGCAAAAAGAAATAAATCTTGTGTATTTTCTTTAGGTCAGCAGTCTTATTTTGCATGTTGAAGAAGCGCATACGCTCCCTGTAAAGCATTTTACTAATCCGTATTGTAACATCTACCTGAACAGTGTCCAGGTAGCAAAAACACATATCAGGGAAGGGCAGAACCCTGTTTGGTCAGAAGAATTTGTCTTTGAGTAAGTCTTAATCTTCTTGAATTACTGAATTTCACTTGAAAGTTGGATTGCACTTAAATATCTTAAGTATGTAGTATATATTGCATATTCTTTTAAAAAGTACTGCGTATGTGGCTATACAGTTGGCTGCCTTCTGGCCACAAGTGCTTGGACAGAATGTTCTGTAGGCACCTAAGCGTCTCTGTTAGTACAAGTGTCTTTGGCTGATAGTGAGAATTCAGGATTGGAATAACTTGAAAATAACTTTAAATGCTGGCACAATATAATATTAACTGAGGCTTTCTGTCTTTTCTCCTAGTGATCTTTCATCTGATATTAATAGATTTGAGATAAGTCTAAGTAACAAAACAAAGAAAAGTAAAGATCCAGATATATGTAAGTATGTTTCTGTACAAATATATATATATTGCAACAATGGATACTTTGTGCAATTGTCATTCTTTTAAAAAACAGTCACAAGAGAGTTAAGTGTACTACTTTCATACCATTGTATTAGTATGTTTTGGATGTCTGTTTCTGAGTCTGCATTAGTATTTTTACAGTGAGAACCTGCATAATTTAAGAGTAACCAAATGCACAGTAATCCTTACCCAGTACAGCTTTCTTAGCTCTACTCTGTAATAGCTGTTGTGTTATACCATGGCTACGCTCAAGATGAAGAAAAGTAGGAAGAAAGAGGGACTGTTCTGTAAAATGCAAAATTTTACTAGGTTAACTTCTTTCATTAGTTTTAAACCTGACTGTGTTGGGATTTCTTTTGTCTTTTTCATTTTTGTTGCTGCCTTTCTTGTTGAAAGGTGGGGAGGAAAGTGGTACTTTGACTATTTAAACACACATACACAACAAAGTTTGAGAAAACCTTGTCAGTCCCGGGAGCAAATCTTTTCCACTGATATGTTCTTGTTTTGTTTTTTTGCTGTTTTATCTCTGTACATTCCTTACATAGCTGATTTTACATCAGAAAGGATCTTGCTTCTTTCAGCTTTTACAGCTTCTTCAGTTGCTCTTTTGTTTCTATTCCAGGAAATTAATATCAAGGTGATAGATAATACAACAATAGCAAAGTATAAAGCCATCGGCTTTTTAGAAGAGAAGGGACTTGGTTTGATGAACTCAAATTCTAAGCTTTTAGAAATCAGTTTTTCTTTTTTGTGTTTTAGTTCTCTTCCCACAGAATGTGTTTTTATGCTTTTTGTTTTATTCAGGGTACTTTGTTCCCAGTGGCATTTGTTCTGCGACGACTTCAGCCCCTTAACCCGCCCCCCCTTTTGCCTGCAGTTCAGGCCCTCCTAAGATTTGTTAGGAGGACTTTTCCAGTGTGTTCAGACTTGTCTGTTCCAAAGCCAATCATAGTAGTTGCCTATTGCTCTTGTTTTCAGTTTGCACGTGTGGTATTACTTGTCTGTTATGTTGTTATGTTTGCCTCAGTGGTAAATTGTTGTTTATTTATTTTTCAGAAAAGAGATTTGTAGAGAAACCTTGAGCAAAGTAAAATTGCTGTGTATATTGAATGATCTTGCAGAACATAATTCATTTTTAAAACTCTTGCCCCTTCCTGTCACGACAGTGTTTTCTGCATTTTTCTGCAGCAGGAGAAAGATCTATCTGTTCTGATAGACCAAACAACTCTACAGTTGTAATTGTGATCTTATTCTCATACTTCTAGCTCTTTGAGCTAGAAAATTCTTTTTCTAGGCCAGAGCTCTGGGGAAGTAGCCTTAAACAGCTTCTCCAAAAGCAAAAGAATCAGTTTTTAAACATTCTCCTTTTCAGCCATAGTTTTCCCATGTAGCTCTCTCTGAAGTGGGTTATGTCAGCTTTCCTGCTGTGTAAAGCAGACTGATCTGGTACCGGTTTCACAGCTTGTTTCTCTCATCGTCATGCACAAAAGTAAATACGAAAATGGTATGAGCTTGAAGGCTAACTTTTTACAAGTCTTTGACTTTGAAGTTTACCTATTAAGTATTCATTCTGCAATTATTTTGTTTTTTTTAGATATTCAGAAATAATGATGCTAAACAAAATAACATCTATTTCATTCTTTTTGTTTTACTAACAGATTTTTATGTATCCATTTATTTAAATGTATGTGGCTTAAAAATAAAGTCCTAGAAGATGACAAATGTATTAGTAGACTTCTGTCACAGAAACTCTATGCTGAGTTTTTATCCATGTTGGAGCCAGTCAGTGTCTTGCAGTTCCATGAGGAGTTTCTCGTCTGGTTTCACAGCAGGGTAGTTGCTTGTCTTCAAATTCTCTCATGCAGAAAACCAAAATACTTAGAGGCAAGCAAGTCCATAGAGCAAAATGTTAGCCTATGCTTCTCTCAAGAAAAAGCTGTTGCTGTGCTGCCTCTTTATCAGCAGTGCTGGAAGATAAGCCTCCTGTGGCAAGCTTAAGACTTAGGTTCTTCCCTCGCCTATCCTCTCGCAAACATGTGCTCAGCACGTTTGGGGCCAGGTAGGGAGCAGTCTCAGACAAGTGCGGATGTGGACAGTTGTTAGCAATCCAGACTGGAGCCTCTGAGGCCCCAATGGTCGTGACAAATGTGATGCTGCTGCCAAGGACAGAGGGCAGGTGCTGCAGGCCCTGCTGTGAGGAGCAGCCCCGGAGCAGCGAGGAGTCAGCTCTCCTTGGATGGGTTGCACTAGCCTCTCCGAGAGCTGTGTGCAGGGAGGGCAGGCTTCCATGTGCCTGTCTGCTGACCAATTTCTGCATTTCTTTGCATTGAACTGGGCTTTTATTCTGAATCAGTAATGCTAGATATTTTGGAGGGGGTAGTGGGTGGTTAAATTGATTTTCACCATAAATTTGGGGTTGTTTCCACTCTGAGGAAAACACAAGTTTGAACCAATTTTCAGTTTGATTCCCAGGTCAGAATTATTAACCATCAAAATAAAAACTTTGTCATCCCTACATGTGTGCCTTGCATATGCAAGTGAGGCAAGAAAGAAATGCTTTGAGTTAGGGGGGCTTGAGAGCTTTGTGCTGGGAAGGTGATTTGCTTATCTGTCCAGAAGTGATAGTCCGATCCACTTGTGACAGATAGCAGGGGCTGATGAACTGCTTCAGTTCATTTTTGACTGAGTGACCGAGACAAACCTTATAACAAATGTTCAGCTCCAAAGAATATGAAATGTCCACCTGGAAGGTCTTAAGTATGCATTATAAACGTGGTAGTGTTCGGTTCCGTAGCCTGGTTAGGCACTTGATGCCCCAACAGATACTCCAAAATTAATGCAGTAGCAAGTCCGCTAGAGCAGGTGTTAATTCCTGCAAGGCAATGTTGTATACAGGCTTTGCAGAGAGGTGGGGTAAAAATGAGTTTATGTACTGTGAATGACTTATATTTTAATGAACAGGCGAAGGTCCAGGCGGTCTGAAACGCTACGAGTGAAACACGGAGTGGGTTCTGTGCTCCTTTTTAGGCAGTTCTGGGTATTTTATAGGTCGAATGTTCTCTGCAAGTGTCGGGGCCCTTCGTGTGTGGAAGAGCCTGGTGAGGAGAGGGGGCTTGCTGGGAAGAGTCAGTGAGGAGCTGGCAGCTGCTCACTCCTCAGCTCTTAGATGAGACTCTCCGTGGTGGCTGTAGGGGTGAGTTTGGGGAACCTGAAGATGCCAACACCATTAAAAGGTGAATTAATGATTTTGCTGCTCTTGAGCTGATTTTCATTAGCTAAGCAGACAGCTCACTGTCCATCACTGAGAGGTTGTAGAGTCTTCATGTTTGGAGATATTCAAAAGTCTTCTGGACATAGTCCTGTGCCACATGCTCTAGGTGTCCCTGCTGGAGCTGGGTTGGACTAGGTGATCTCTAGAGGTCCCTTCCAACCTCAACTATCCTGTGATTTTTGTGATATTAGGAGGTTTCAAAGAGTTATGTTAACATCCATATGCTGTTTTCAAATGTATATGTACACTTTATTTACAAAATATTTCCTATTTAAGATTGGCTTTATAGGAGTCTGTTAAACCATTGAAGTAATTATCTTTTCATATACTAACAGCATAAATCCTAGGGGGAGAAGAGTTGTTTGTTTTATTAATATTCTTACTGAAACAAGATGACATGCAAAAAATAAAATGCTTCTATTCAATACTAGCCCTGCTTTGCTGGAAATAACTTTGGTGAACAATGCTTTCTATTTTTCCTTAAGTGTTTATGCGATGCCAGTTGAGTCGATTACAGAGAGGACATGCAACAGATGAGTGGTTTCAGCTCAGTTCCCATGTACCATTAAAGGGTATCGAGCCAGGATCTTTGCGTGTTCGAGCACGTTATTCTATGGAGAGGATCATGCCAGAAGAGGAGTACAGTGAGTTTAAAGAGGTATCGAGTTGTTGAACTTTCCTTAGTTTATCTGTCAGAATAATTCATTTTATCTGCTTGAGACAGACTTCAGCAGCTCTGGTTGAGCTCTTAAAGCGCTGCCTGTAGTGCCTATATGGATGTCACAGTTGTATGATAGCAGTTTTTTCCACAGCTACGACACAGTAAAAGTTTCTGAACATGATAAAGTTCTGTTTTTCTTTCAGCTTGTACTCCAAAAAGAGCTACATGTAGTCCATGCCTTATCACATGTTTGTGGACAGGACAGAACACTGTTGGCAGGCATTTTATTGAAGATTTTTCTTCATGAAAAACTTGAGTCATTGTTGCTACGAACACTAAATGACAGGGAAATAAGCATGGAAGGTACTGGACTAATTATTCTAACCTTAAATTCAGTTTACTGAAACTGGGGGAGAGGAGGGTGTGCATCCCCTAGTGTTCTTTTTTTAAAAAAAAATCTCTTCTGTCCCCTCAGTTACACATATATGAAATTGTAAGCACAGCATTTTTTTTACTCTGCCTTTCCTTATTTTCTTTTCCTAACTTTTGCTTTTACCTTCTTTTTCAGACGAAGCTACTACCTTGTTTCGTGCCACCACTTTAGCCAGTACGCTTATGGAGCAGTATATGAAAGCCACAGCGACACGTTTTGTTCACCACGCACTGAAAGACTCTATATTGAAGATAATGGAGAGCAAGCAGTCCTGTGAGGTGATAATTTGATAATTTAAACCATGCTTTTAAATATTTTGACTTGTTGAAACAGTGGGGTTTTTGTTTTTTATACTGGTGATGGTTATGTTTCATGTTTACTTTAAATACTAGCTCTAGAGGCATTTGATAATCTTTCAGACATGAACTTTATTTATTTGAGAAATACATGAACTAGACTCCTTAGGGTATTTTTCTTCTAAATGTTGACTTGCACAATACAGTAGCGCTTTTCATGGTAGCACTTTTAAAATGTTTTTAACTTGCACTTAAAATTGTGTATTTATTCTTTAGCAATTCAGTGCTGTTCTGTTGCATGTACTGAATGGCCTAACCTAAATAGCTTTGGTAAACTCTGGATGTAATAATAGAAATCACTGTCTGAAGTTGATTTTAATTTATAGCTCCATGATGGTATTAATTGCTCGTTATTGATTCTGTCTTCTTTCCTGAACCAACCCTCTTTAACTTCTGTATTTCACTCCAACTTAATTGCAGAAAGAATGGAAATCCTTAGAAGACTGGATTTAAAGATATGAAAAGGTTATGTAGATGGACAGTGTTAAATGTCTGTGCTACTAAAAGCTATGCATAGTATACTAAAATATAAACACTGCTTGTTCACGTTAGTTTCGTGGCTGGCAATTGAAGCAGATGTTTAAATTCTCTAGAAGTCCGTGACTTGTACAGCAGCAGAGTATTCATTTAGCTTGAAATAGTGTCCAGGGTGTCGTGTTATCCAGTAACTGATAAAATAATTTAGAAGAAACTTTTCTGCTTCTTTTTTTTTCCCTCCCTTTTGGCTTCAGTTAAATCCCTCCAAGTTGGAAAAAAATGAAGATGTAAACGCTAATTTGGCCCATCTACTCAGTATACTTTCGGAACTGGTAGAGAAAATATTCATGGCTGCAGAGATACTGCCTCCGTAAGTATGCACTCTTCTGTTTGGGTTTGTATGTGAAAATTCCCATTACACCTTCATGGTGGTAATATTGGTTCATCTTTCACTAATTAAATTGTCCTAAATTCTTCAGGGTTGTTATATGAACAGAGGGAAAAATACATATATGCGCATGCACACACACACACATATATGACGTTGTTGTTTGTGGAGGTCTTTTGGGGTTTGTTTGTTTGTTTTTGATCCTGCAAAGTTTAATGGAAAGCCTGACTAGCTATAATTTTTACAGAACGTTGAGGTATATTTATGGGTGCTTGCAGAAGTCTGTTCAAAACAAGTGGCCTGCCAACACCACCATGAGAACCAGAGTTGTTAGGTAAGTTACTTGTCACTTTATGCTGAAAATAATCTTTTAATGTGTTATTAAGACATAATTCAACTTGTTTTTTTCAGTGCCAAATCTTCACAGTACTAGGATAGTTTACAGCAATATAAAAGTTATTTATGATACTGACACATGATATCCCAATTAAGGTTTGAGAGCTTGCTAGATTATGGTTAGAGACTTGCCAGAATAGGATGGTGTACTACAGAGGCCAGCACAGCTTTACTTAGCAGTTTTAACGTCAAACTTATTTGTATTTTTTTTATTAAGTTTTACGAGCCAATCTACAATGCCTTGCTATTTCATGTTTGGAAAGAAAGGCTTCAGTCAGTGACAGATAAATTTTGTGATATTTGTAGAGAACAGTGACTTCTGAAGGTCTTGTTCCTGTCATTTTCCCTCTGTCCGACTTCTGGCCTATGCTGAAACATGCAAAAGCATCCCCAGAGATGCTGAAATGCTGCAGAGCTGCTTTGTAACGGCTGCAGGCCACCGAGCCTGGCTTCTCAGGGCTGTTGCTGAGTCCTAGAGCTCCTCACTCACCAATCTGAATGCACAAAGTTTTTCCTTCACACCATCTTTTTTCAGTGTAGGTGGAATGAAAATCTTTGATATAAGGCGAGACCTTGGCCTAGTTTTTGGAAATGATACTGGTGGATTAAGGGTATCACAGCCACATCTTTCTTGCCCTTCCTTTAACTTTTCTGTAGGCCTGACTTCTTGGTAAGCAAGTGTAGCATTTGGCACTGATGCGATTTGCTAGAGTTAATCTCCCATTGGAATGGAGTCTTCCAGACAACTTGTCTTTGGCTCTGGTTAATCATTTTGACACCAGAAGTCTTGGCCTATGTCACTTAGCACCTCTTGCAGGCCCTTTGCCTTCAAATTTAGACTGCTATCACAAGAGATGATGGGGTAGCCTCTTGCAGGGGGTGGAACACAGAAGTGAGTACAACATCTCTCCCTGTTCTCCCCACCTTCAGAGAGTCCTCGGCTTGCTCTAGGTGGATACATTCAGGCGTTTCTCTGGTTTCCAGTATTTACAGCATCCAGAATTTATGCTGGACGGTATAAACACTGGAACCTTCTCCTGCTCCTGTAACCTGCACAAGCAGATACTTGTGAGCTCTCCCAGAGTACAGTTCCGCGGTCTTCAGTGAATATGGTCTCACTGTGCTGTCTGCGGTCCATAATTAAATATTATCAACTAAGTGGGGAGTTTAAGTGTCTGAGTAGCTACCCTGATGTATCATTCAGAAGTGCTGCTGTTTCTGTCTCATTCTAAATCCCACACTTAAGCATTGGGTCCTTTTTAATTTAAACAGTATAATCAGTGTAAGAAGCACCAAACCTCCCAGATTTGAGGTCCATGCAGATCCCAGTTGGCTAACTTCAAGTCATCCAAAACAAACTATTGTACGTACCATGGCTTCCAAACTACATTTTTATAGCTTTAAGTTAATTGCATAGAAAATATTTCTCACAGAGGGCCAGAACCATTGCCTCATCAGCCCAGAATTCATAGGTCCTGAGGAAATGAGAAGCTGTTACACCAGCGGGTTAGAATTGAGGTGTTTTGGTGTGTTAACTCCCCTGCTGCCCGAATCAGTTCCAAGTAGCGACGGGCAGTGCTGCTGCGTGTGGTGTAAGGCCCCAGCCTTCTGCTGCAGGTGCCAGGCCTTGCTCTCCTGCAGCGAAAAGCCCTTCTGCTGGCACTATCCGGCACTCTGAACGCACTGGGAGATGGTCAGATTGCTTCTGCGGTTCATATGTCGCTTCAGCATGTAGCAGCTGAATTGGTGGGTGCCAGAAATGAGGTGCATGTATTTTACATTAGCTGTTAACACAGATTTTTCACATGCTAACCAGCAGGCTATTTTAGGTTGCTATCAGATGAGTTCCTAGATCTGCAGTCAAACAAAGCCCTTTTTCTGAGCTTTCTGGATTATCTAGGGGGCAGCAAATATGTTTCTAAGCACGGTATCTAATTCACGTTTATTCCTTAGGCTAGCGTAGTGCCATAAGGTGTGGGTTTGCTCAAGCTGGAAAAAGGCTGTGTTGCCATTAAAGCAGAAGTTGGTGCCATTCTGGCTGGGCGCTCCTGCTTTCCCAGTGTCCCCTTGGGAGTGTAGGGGCTACGGGATGAATCACGTGCCCCAGCAGACACAGGAGCACTTGGGAGAGGTGGGAGACCAGGCGCTTCTCCTATCTGAAGCCAGGGTGGACTTGGCTGGCTCTGCAGTGCAAGCTGCTTTCCACGGGGGCTGCAGAGGTTCCCCTTAATCGGGGAATGCCTGATTTTCAAGTTTTACCTCAGTGGAAATCATAGGAAAACTTTCTGAATTAACAAACATTTTCAGATTGCAGGCTGGTTGTCTGTTATCTGTATAAAAAAGATTTCCACATTGACTTGAATTCTTAACTATTTACGAAATTTTGCATTAATTCCATTTTCATTATTGAACAAAATGCACTTTTCTTCCCATTTCAGTGGTTTTGTTTTTCTTCGACTGATTTGTCCTGCTATCTTGAACCCAAGAATGTTTAACATCATCTCAGGTAACTGTATGCTTCAGAATGGATTCATAGTTTATACGATAATAGTAGTGAATTTACCTTAGCTTCTAATCTAGTAAAGTTATTCTGTGAACAGTGCCCAAAGTAACATTGTGCACATCACTTGATTGATTTTCTCCCTGTGGGAGCCAGAGGGTATCTCAAAGGTTAGATATAGTGTTTATCCCCACTGTCTTGTTTTAAAATCCAGAAAACAGGCTTGGTATTGAAATGATATAACACTGAACTCTTTAGTTAGTCTAGTCCTGTAGTGTAGTCTTAGCAGGTTGTTTAAAAACAAAAATAGAAAAACAAACACACGCAAAAAAAAAAACACACTTGTGGGCTTGCCTTCAGATCTTATTTCAAATAATTTCAAATACAATGCAATGCCGAAGTTTATAGCTGAAATTCAGTTTTATCTCTAGAAAATAAAAGATCTATATAACTGAAAATGTCTGCAGAGCCTGGAATACGTTTGTGGGCTGGCAGTCTCGTGCCACTGAAGCCCTGGAGAATTCCTCTTGCCTTGCCAGAGTAAGAGCTTTTTATAGCATGCAGAAAGACACCCTGTTCTTTGATGATTACTAAACAGAGTATGAATTAGGTAATAAAAGTAACGGGGAGCATTGCTGTTTGCAATATCAAGATCACTGAGGCTATGTAGCGTTTTCTCAAACAGTTGTTGGGTAAGATTTGGGTGTTGGCTTAAATCAGGGATCACATCTGACGTGGTTCGTGGGAGTTTCCTGCTGCAGTTTCTTGCTGCAAAGCTTTCGTGGTAAAGACATGGGTTATTCCATGGTAGTTGGCTTAAGTACATAAAAATATTTCAGGGTGTTTTTAAGTTACAGATGTAGTTATTTTGGGTCCTACACAAGCATGAACTATCCCATTTGTTAGTGTTCTTTTAGCATAAGACTGGATTGAAAGGATCTGGGGACTGAAATTCCTCATGGAGGAGGTAAAAAGGAAAGGCGTAAACTGCTGGTAGGAAAGCTAGTAATAAAATAGTGGGCCATCCACTAGCTTTTAAAGGTTTGTGTATGTTGTATTTCTCTGAGAGGGGAAGCAGGAGGTTAAGGGCAAAGGTCCTCCCAACTTAGAGGGCACTTTTTCAATTTTATCAGTAAAATCCTGATTCAAAAATGGGAAGAACTTAAGGTGATTGTATGAGAAGCCCTTTAGGAAAAGCACTTATGGTGGGGAGAGGTGGCAGCCTGTTTCTAGACATCCTGCTTTCTGTGCTTCTTTCTAAGCCTAAGCTATATCAAACTGGAAGGCCAGTACCAACTGCAAAGCGCCTTTCCCTCCCCCTGTCTTTTTCCTGCATGCTTTGGGGAAGGCAAATTTAAAGAAAACATGATCTTGTATGGTGTTCAGTCTTCAGTATGTTATTTAGATAATGTGGGAGTTGGTTACTATTTGACCTGGGAACTAGATTGAGCCCACTGCATCTGTAGCTGTAAATGCAGCTACTACATAGGAATTTGCAGAAATCCCTTTTAAGCTTGTCAGTAAGTCCTGTTCTTAATTATTGCCTAGTAAATTTAAGAGTCTTTATAAAGTTCCCAGGGCTGCATAAAAATAGGGGTGTAGGAAGGGGTCTTTGCTTTGGGAACAAAGATTCCAACACGCATGCTTTCCATAAGGGGAGAAAACCCAAGTCAGCCAGGGTGTAAAGATGCATGTCCGTTTCCAGCAGCAGTGTGTCTGTCCTGTTGCCCCAACGGCTGTTCACAAATATCTTGTTTCAAAAGCAAGCCCTGTGTTCCAGTCTTAAACGATTTTTTTAACTACTTTTAGATCTGTCCTCCTAATCTGAAGCTTCAAATTCCTTGACTAGTAGTGTTTTACACAGTTCTGCTTTGAAGGGATGTAGGGTAGCATGTGCTAGATATTGCGAGCACTGAGTTTCTGATTTATTGCCTCAGTTTAAGCTCCAGCCCTGCATAGAAAGCTAGATACTATTTTGCAATGGATTGCAGTGCTAGGGGAGGGCAGGAGGACAATAGACCAAATGATGCACATAGACAATGGACATTTTCATAGCATTTTTAGGAAGAATTGAAAGTTTATATGCTGAATATGGCAATTTTAACACTTTTCAGTGGCTTATAAGAAAAAAAGCTAGGTTTGACCATAATTAATAATATGCATATTTTTGTTTTAGGAATTAATTCCATACAAGTTTTACTTCAAGTGATATTTTCCTCATGGAGCTGTAACATGCAAAGTATTCAGTGATAAAACTGAACTGGAGAAGAGCTCAACTTTCACGTCACTGCTGGTAGTTTTACCTGCAGCAGCTGCTGACTCTGCTTTGTTTTTCCTCTCAGATTCTCCTTCCCCTACTGCTGCAAGAACATTGACGCTGGTCGCCAAGTCTGTGCAGAATTTAGCAAACCTGGTTGAATTTGGAGCCAAGGTGAGTATAATTTTACACACAGAGAACAGCACAGAAACCTGTTTCCAATGCATAGTTCATGTTGAACACAGGCATAAAATACAGGGCCATTTTACTTGCGCAAAGCCAAGTATGTGGCCCAAGTGTCCTCAGCCCAGATACCACTTTTTCCTGCAGTTACTTCTATCCTTTCCAGCTGAGGCTAAGCAGGGTTTTGAACTGAGCTACAACAGTAGCAAAAAGTGGCTGAACTGGAAAGAGGAGTCATAGTTATTTGAGTATGAATGATCTAGAGACTTGTATTAATGACTTGGTACAGCCCCTACAAATTTTTGAAGCTGATATCAGGAACAACAGAAAATGTCTGTTTAAAATAATTGATGAACTGATGACCATGGGACCATGCTTTGACCATAGCTACATTGTTTGTTTAAAAACAAAAACTACAGTGGAAGCATATTGACCTTATTTTTCTGTCTGGGACTGAAAGGGTCGTGCTCCAATATTTTCTGTGTGGGAGTCAGAGAAGAGGGAAGGTAAAGGCAGGCAGGCAGCCATCTATCCATCCACCAAGAACATGAGCAATGATAGTAAAATGGCTGGATTTTCTTCAGAAATGTCCATATCAAAAAGACAACTGAGAATTGCTAGAGCAGGAGTCTGTGACTAGGAGGACTAAGTTCAAGCAGGCCCCAAGTAGATTATGGATTTTTTTTTTCCATTTGCATTTCCACTGATTATGTGATTATTTGAGGTAAGAGGGGAGAAGTATCCTTCAATAATACTGGCATCCCTCTACACAGATCCTTGAAATACATTCCATGCCCATTTTTAATATATACTATATGTAACAATTGGCTTGCAAGTTCAGACCAGTCAAATTGAAACCTACTGTAACTCCCAGATGTGTATAGAGTATTTAATTATGAAACATATGAACAATTGAAAACAATTTTTTTTATTTTTTGTTTTTTTTCTTCCTCCCTTTTAACCTCCTCTTGTTGTTCAACTTGCTCCTTACGGCAGCGGTTTCTGTTCTACACCCCCTCTATTTGAATTCATTTTCGTAGTTTGACATAAAGAACATTGTAAATCAGCTTGACAAGTTGTACTAGACAGCCTCGGCTTTCAATAAAATTTCTATTGTAGCGCTAAGAGAATGAGCCAACAACAACTGGTCTATGTTTGTTCCAAAGCTGCAATGTGGATGAACAATAAATCTGTTGGCTTAAGTGTAACAAAAGAAAGTGACTACAAAGGTAGTTGTGTGACACACAACTTAATGTAAGCATTAATGAAAGAACAAAGAGGGCACTTATGTCCTGATGTTGTCTTTGAAAGTGCTGCATTTTTTGATTGCAGTTACTTAAATATTTCAGAAATGTATAACTTTATGCCTGTAGGCATATGTTAGCAAACAATTTGTGAATTGATCTGCAGTACAGAAAGTACAAGCTTCTTGACTGGTTGCATATTGGTCCTTAAAAATTTGCCTGAAAACATAAATTCATTGCAGAGAATGCACCTATTTTGCAATGTCACTTATCTCTGATTGCAGCATGTGCATTTCAGGTGTGACTTAAATTTGTATTGCTTTGTTCTAATAAATCCTTCTAAAAATTACTAGGAACCATATATGGAGGGGGTAAATCCGTTCATCAAGAGTAACAAACATCGCATGATCATGTTCCTAGACGAGCTTGGGGTAAGTGAATAAAAAATAATAAAAAAAATTATTGGAAGCTACATAGCAGAACAGCAAATGAAACTTCTGTACAGTTCTTAAGTAGCTCAAAAATGGTTGCATTTCCACACAATTCTGAACGCTTGTTACTGAGTACATTTCTTACGCTTGCACAGAAACTGCACATTGCTGGCGTGTCACACGTAGTTTAAAAGTATGAAATGGTCATTTAGATTTTGCTCATATGGTACTGCTGTGGACATTAATAGTTCAAATTCTTTATTTTCCCTACTGAATTTTGGCAAAAAAAACACCAATCTGTTCAAATATTTTTAAAACAGAAAATTGCATAGTTGATCCTTTGGCTTCCATCAGATACCACCCTCTATATATCCAACTTGTAGTTTAAAAGTATATAGTAAGTGTAGTTATCTTTGAAAATGTTTTGTATCTGATAGCTATATCATACTCAAACTACTGTATTTAGGAGTTCATTGTACATATATTTTTTTAAAACTATGAATCTGTTGTAAACTTGGAGATGAAAGAAATATGGCTAGCTTCCTAAACTGAGTCTCTAACAGACCTAGAAGATATCTTGGAATATTTTGAGGAAATTTTGAATATTATGAATTATGAATATTTTAAGGCAGAGCATTCAGCTAGGCTGTCATATATCACCTTTTTTCTAGTTAAAATGGAAAACTCTGCATATTATGATGCGTGAATTTTTGGTTTTAAACATACAATTATACATGAAGATTCTGATAAGTGCTGCATTTAGTCTACTGTTGGGTTAATCTACTAGTTTAACGACAACATTATTCTACGAGTGAAGAGAAGACTGAAGATAAACCTTTATTCAGAGTAGCTTTCTGGTCAGCTCAGGGAGAGCCAAGCAACATCAGACCTTTCAGCAGAAGATTTTTAGTAGGAGTAGATGCTGTTAAATCTTCAGTAATTACTTCATGAGAAACACATGCAACCGTAAAATATCTTCATAAGTGGATGCTTGTGAAGATGAGGAAATCCATAATTTGCATTAGGTCACATGAATAGAAGATTTAACTTTGAAGAATAACACTGCAATACTTGCTTGCAGTATCAGAACAAGTGGTCTCCAGAGCTGTAATTTTAATTTCCTTTATGGCCGGGTGCTCACCGCTAAGTCTGCTCTCATCGTTTCTGTTCAAGAATGTTCCCGAGCTCCCAGACACTACGGAGCACTCTAGAACTGACCTCTCTCGTGACCTAGCCGCCTTGCACGAGATGTGTGTGGCGCACTCGGATGAGCTTCGCACGCTCAGCAACGAGCGAGGGGTAATGCAGGTAAGCCACAAAAAAGCTCATGGTAGCTCTACACGTAAATAACAGTGCATACTTTTGAGTTTCTTTCTACTACAAAATGAAACAGGCTGTAAAGTTGTGGGTGTTTAAGTCTCCAGAGAAAGCTTTTAGTTTCTAAAGGAAGCGTAAACCAAAGAAATGGTTCTCTAGGTCACAAAGGTTAAGTGTTTTTGTTGTTGTTTTTAATTAAGAATTAAATGCACTTGTCTTAGGCTTCTGTTGCTAAATGGTTTGTACTTTCTGATTCATCACACTTGTGAACAAACACATCAAACTTGTAGCAAACACTATAAGCATCTTGCTGCAATGATTAAACTTCTATACAACCTTTATGCAAACTTCCTTTTTAAGGGGGAAAAAATCAGATAACTTCATACATTGCTTTGCCAATACTTACTTATAGTCTGCTGTTTATGATTAACTTCAACTAGCCAGTATCCACTTAAAGCATCACTACATGTGTAGTAACCATCAAAAGGGTTCTTACAGCATTTCTGGGTTTGTGGTTCTGTTTTTGTTTTACTGAATGACTCATTGACTAAGAAGTTTTGGTGTAGTTGTTAATTTTACCATTTCCAGACATCTTGTAAATCAGATTTCTTATCCTCATGTTCAAAGACCAGACTACTTGTATCTTGAGACTTTCAAAGTCTTTATGTAAACCTATGCAGACCAAAAATCAGTGGGTTTTTTTTTTAAATGTTTTTTTGCCTGACAACAGACCATATCATTTGAATACATATTTCAGGAGGAAACCTTTTTTCCCCTAACGGGAGGGTTACTGAAAATTTCTTTGTGACTTTTGAAAAAAAATATGAAAATATATATTTTTAACTCCATTTTTTTGTGAGAAGAAAGCTCAAGGAATTGGAAATGAAATTCCTTCATTACAGCAATTCAAATCTTATCCAATTTAGTAACTAAAATTTACTGCTTTAGTGACATATGAGGGAGAGAAAAATGAACCACAATCACGTTCCTAATTCTCTCAAATAGTGATCATCTAGACAAGGCAAAAAAGATGTCCAGACTTGCACAGCAGGATACTAGCAACATTCAGCACTAAATTTATGTGATGTTGATATACAAGGGCCATCCCTCCCCCCCCCTTTTTTTTTTTTTGAAGGCCTGTCCTTGGATAATATGTGTCAGTGGAATTAAAAATCCAGGTAGATCTGAAGTACATAAGTGATTTGAATGAAATGCAATATTCTCTCTTTGATACATTTGTTCTCCTCAGGGGTTTTCCTGAAGAAAATTATCTTGAAAGCTGTTTTTCTATTTTTATTCTCTCAGTAATAGCAATGCCTTAATGGTTTAGGGCCACCCTGATATTTCTAGACATAGCTCTGCTATGATGAAAAATGATTGGACTCCCAAAGTTGTTACAAATATACTTTCCTAGTCTGTGTATGGTATGCGTATGTTCAGATACATCTGGCTGAGTTCAATATTTTCAGGAATAAAAAATAAAGAGTATTTTTTGAATGTCCAGAAAAGTGAACTAGACTATCATATTTTTTTATAGTCATAGGATTTTTTTTTTCATTTTCCTGGCCCCGTTCTCCTTGAAAACATGAAGAAAACTGAGAATAAAGATCTGTTTTTTTCACCTAGAAGAACTTGGTTTCATGTTGAAGCTTGCAGGTTAAGTGGACAAGATGTGTTGGTTCTCTTCAAAAACAGCCAAACAAAAAGATCTATGAGTGCAGAGACAAACTTCATCATGATGTTTTACAGTTGCCTTTCAGAATATTTCAGCAACTGGGGGATCAGAGCATTTCCTCTTTGTATTAGATTCATAATGTAAAAATATATGAAATATTGTAGAAAACATTTAAAAAATGTTTTCACCAGATGGCTAGGTCTGGTAAACTCATGTTGCAAGTGTTTCTGCAGCAGAGACTTGTTTTTTCTAATTGCTACTGTATGGCTGTACTAACTACTTTTCTTCCCTACAGCATGTTCTTAAGAAACTGTTGGCTATTACAGAACTGCTTCAACAAAAACAAAATCAGTATTCAGTGTCTAATAACATCAGGTAGCAGCCCTCTACCTGAACTCTGCATGGATCCAGCATGCCCAACATGGCAACCCACACCAGTATCACTTTCTTCTTGCTCTTGCCAAAAATAGCACACCCTATCACGTTCCCAGTGATGTGTGAACTATGCAAAAAGAAAACAAAGATTCTGTTGGTGAATGATTGTACCAGCAGCTTTTTAAGCTATGTGTGCAGGACATTTGCACTTTTTTTCCACTTGGAACAAATTTTCACGACCTCTGAGCCTCGGTGTACAGTTCACCTTCTGCAAAGAAAATGCTGTGACTGTCTCTCGAACTTTGAAAATAATTTTCAGCACCTCCAATTGCCAAAGTTTTGTTGTCTTGTTGGAAAAGAATTATCAACTGACAAGGAAAGAAACTCACTGTTTTGACAGCTGCATATAACTGGATAACACTTCTTACTGTAATTTCTGACTGGTGTTACAACTATTACAACTTTGACTGTTTCAACCACTTTTAACTTGTATTTACAGTTTCCAGAGTTTGACGTTATGGTAGAAACAATCTTTGCTGTACACTTTTTATACCATGCTGTTTCTCTTGCTGGAATCATGTTGAAAGAGAATATCCAGAATGGGTCTTGACAGCTTTATTTTTAATGTGCCACTGATTCAGTCTGAATAATTCTTCCATCAAGGACTGTATATCCAGATAAATCACAATGCTTTTGTAAAATGTTTACAACAGTAAATAATTTGAATTCAGTAAATTTATTGATCATTGTATCAGACATGCATGCATTCATTAAACCATTTTATAAAATGTTCTGGTTGGTCTCTTGTGTAATGTAAGTCTACTATGAGTTTTATTTTTATAACTGAACTATCAGGTTTTTTTAAATAAATCAAGTTGCAGAGAGCCTGTTTATAGAAAGTGCTAACTTTGGCTGCTGTGGATTTTTTTTTATGGTGTCTGCACCCATTATCTATTTTAAAATGTTCATTATGTCACATTTACGGTTTTTAGGAATTCTCTGAGTACCCTCGTGCTTGTTTACACCATATTACAGATGAAAGTTACGAGTTTGATGCTAGTGGATAGCAGGATGTTAAGATTCTCTGACAGGACTAATGAGAAAGTACAGTATTAATTGTTTGTATTATATGAACACCCCTGATATTCCCCTAAAACAACTGTAACATCTGACTGAGAGAACAGGGATGGGAAAGGGAAGATGGAGATGTAATGATGTTCCCATGAGTGTGCTGCTAGTGTAAGGCTCCTGGATCCCACTAGCAGTGGGATAGAATTTTTACAGGACTGGTCAAGATGACAAAAGTTTTGAAGAAAAATAATATAAGAAAGCCACAGCTGTGCTGAGCTTGAAGCCAGACTTGGTACTATAATTTCTCTTGACAAATAGTCTCCTATGTTGTTTGTCCCTGTAAAAATATTCCGTAATTCTGTATCTCCTGCCTGTGAGGAAAAGGACAAGAATGACTTTATGCAGTCACTTCTGCTCTAATGTGTATAGCCCTTATCTTTGAGTCTGTGCTGTAATGTTAGTATGTCCTTACTCTGGGCTGTTGCTGAGCTGCCTTGGATGTTTCAGGTGGGCAATAAAATTACTGAAGATGGGCATCCAGGAGTGCATCTTCTGCCATAGCCAAGAGTTCCCTAGTAAGAGAGCTCTTAGTCTGACTCTCTTAACTAAGACCTCTACCTTGTTGCAGGACTGCTATTACTGAGGTGCTTGGTAGATCCTCTTTAAAAACTACTGCTTGACTTTGTTCCTGTCAAACCTGTATTAAATTGCATCTTAGAGGAAAGATGATAAACAACAAGACTGTTTCAGCACTTATAGGGGAAGAACCTCTTTTTCATTAGGGAATACAATTAGGTCAAACAACAGAAATATGTCAAACTCCCTTCATAACTTGTATGAACTGTTGCTGAATACTCTGCTTACGGCTTCCACTCAGCGTGTTATGCAAACTTCACTTGCTTAAAAAGGCAGGATGTAAAGGGGGTCTGAAGTAAAGATCTTTTCTTTTCTGACTACTTGGCCTATATGCAGAAGAATGAATTTGTTTGGTCAGTAAAACACTGTATTTATTTATTTTTTAACACTGTAGGTCTGGGTCAGTGTAGCTATTTACTTTCTTTTAAAAAAAAAAACTTGCTGTAGTCCTTTTTGTATTTCAAGGACAAAATTGGGAAGGAGGCAGGTCTTCTAGTCAAAATCATTTAGGTATCCACACCTGACTTGGCTCCTGCTTTTATTTATCCACTTCACTGAGGTGTGGTTAAGTCTAGAAATACAGCACTACAGTAACTAGAGTCAAATCTTCATCTGTTCCAAAGCCAAAGCTCTTCCCTGAGTGACAAATGCCTTTAAGAAAACATTTCAGATGAGTGTTTGCTAAAGTAACTAGCTGCCTTTGCAGTAAAAAAAAGTCATGTGCTTTATTGTAAAGCTTTATTGTAAAGACATTAAAACTGAGTGAACAAGCACCTCCCACACCCCCATAAGAAACCTGTGGTGGATGCTGAGAGTTCTGCTATGACCAGGTACTCCACAGCAGGGAGCCTGAGTAGGTCCTGGCAGTTGGAACAGAAGACCAGCTTACTTCAGCATTCATAGTGAATCTGCAACATCATCATCAGTCCATTCTTCCTAGCAGAAAAAAGGAAAGTGCTGAGCAGTGTAGGTAGCTGTGGGCTACACGTACATGCTACTGCTGCACACTGTCTAAATAACTACTACTGCACATGACAGTTCCTGAGTTAAAACTCTTCACAGGGGTATCTTTCAACCTCAGCTACTATTACGAACAAACATTTAAGTAGTAAAGTTGAACTATACTGTAAGACTGCTTTGTCATAATACTCGTATTTGCAGGAGGACTTTTGGAGGAAAGGTGGAGAGCAGGGCTTGTGTTGCATTACACACCTACTCTCTTAATGCTGCTAATGAGGAAGCAACATGGACAAGAGCAGCTCTAAGTGGACATGAAATCAATCTAGTGCATCCTGCACTAGGATGTGCTAGCACTCTAATCCTCTCTAATGAATGAGGTGAAATTCTTATTAAGCACAACAGGAGAATCTGAAAGGGAGCCTGACTTATGGCCCCGTGGACAACAGTTGCTGAAGAACTTACAGGATGTTCCCTCCCACATCTGTCTGTGAGTACAGCATCTTTATGCTTTCCCTAGCTAGTTGTGGAACTCCAGTTAAGTTTTCTTTCTGGAATCATAAGGGATATATACATATATATATATATATATATATCCCCCTCATCTGCCTTAGGTATTATGCTCAATACTAGGGGAAAGAAAAAGAAACAATTTAGCCAAGTAAACGTAGCAGAAGGAAGATTTTATTCTCAGCTAATAGTAGCTCATCCCAGAGCACAGGATTGAAATGGATCTAACTCATTAAAGGGGTCTAACTTCTTGCTCCTTCAACTCTGTCCCCGTGTTTTTCATAAAAATTAAAAAGCTCAACCCTGTGTTCCTTATGTCCAGGATTTAGCACCCCCTCGTTGAACAAGCAGGCTAGAACCTAAAAAGCCATTTAAGTTAGAGGTGACTAAGCACTTTGTTACCATTAAAGACATTTATTCCCACATGCTCTAAAAGCCATAGTCTCTGGCTTTTTATCAGCCCTTTTAAACAACTGTTTGCGGTTTAACTCATCCTTCTTCATTACTGAGGAGTACTGAATTACTGCATTCATGCACAGAATCCCAAGCACTCAGATTGAAGCCTTTACTAGGAGCCCTCTTTGCAGCTTAGTCATCTATGGCCACTCAGGACTTTGTGGAGCCCTTCTAGCATATCAAGTTAATGAGCTCTCCATCTGTATGGTATTATGCTCTTTGTAGTATTAACATCAGCAGTAAACTGGTAGATCTAAACAGAACTGTTAAAAGTAAGTAGATTTGGCTTATTTTTTAGCAACTGATTGAAAGATTTCTCAGCAGCATCTAAATTAATACTAACTGAGGTTTAAAAAGTCACTATTTGTGTCCTTTTTGTCTTGGCAGTAATTAAGAGGATAAAAAAGCAGCATTTGTAAAGTAGACTTACCTCATCCATTTTAGATTTCTTTGTTACATATTCATCATCTTCATAGCCTTTCCTCTTCTTCCTAGATCCCAACCAGGAAAAAAAGTGATACATATAAGTATTTTTAGAGCTTGCTTTGGCCGTAGCATTTAAAATGGGTATATAAATCTAATTTGCCACATTTAAAGCTATTAAGGTTTAAATTAATATTTTGCTGGAAGCTTGCAGTTCTGAGTACTAAAGTGAAAAGGGCAGAACACTCTAAGAAAGCAGAAATCAGGCACATACTTACTTAAGATGAGCAGTCCACATAGATGCCTTAAGATGACATCAACCCTTTAAACAATTTTTCTCTCCATCAAGTGATTTTGAAGCCATCAATTGGTATTATGTATGATATCAGGAGGCCAACTGCTAAAAGCCATCCTGAACTCCAGACTGAAATATACTCCTGCTTGCTGTGCAAATCAGCACAAAGAATGTATTTATGCTCACAGCACTACTGGAAACAAAAGGATCAAGACTTTTAATCTAGCAGAAACTCACACAGCAACAATTTGAACAAGCATCATCATTTAGGTGTTTTAATTTTCATTCACTTTTATGCAGGTAAGGGAAAAGTAAAGTTTCCAAAATAGTAAAAAAACAAAAAAAAGACTTAAGAGCTAAAGCATTGAGAAGGAAGTATTAAATATCTACTTACGGGTTTATATTAAGTGAAAGGTCCAAGCTGTGACATTTCTCCAATTTTTGTTTTAAAGCAGCAACCTCCTCAGGCCTTGGTAGTTCATATTTCTTTATGAGATTTTTCATGCCTATGGTGGCAACAACACAGCCTTAAGCTAATTAAACAATTTCTGTTCCACCCTGTGAATTACACAAGGCACTGTCAATCAGTCCTATGGCTACACTCATTGCTTATCCCTTATACTTAAGCTTGGGCCAGTACTTTACAGTTCCCTCTTTTTTTATAATGGTGAGCACAGTAAAAGACTTTGAACAGTTTCTACTAAAAAGACTTGACCAAAATCAGGACAACATAAAAGGAAAGCAAAGTGAGCCCAGTTTTCCCTCTGCTTCTTACTAATGGAAACAGGAAGACTGGATTGACTAGCAGGAAGGAAAGAATATCTTATGCTTACAAATCCAATTTATTTTTAAGTGTAGACACGGGTGACTGGCATGATATATTCACTACTAAAGTCAGCTTAGTTGATAGACTAAGTTCTTAATGCTCCCACTCTTCCATCTTATATGCACACATTCACTTGAGACATTATAGAACGGACTACTTCCTGAAAAATTCCTAATTCAGCCTTTTGTTTAATTAAGCTTAATAACCATAGAATGTAGAACAATCGCAATCCTTGCCAAGCAAACTTAAACCTCTTTCAAACGATTGTTATAGTCTATAAAATGCAAGCGAGAGCTAAACCCTAGAAGATCACTTAGCTTTAATGATTTATTTTAGAAAAGGTACCCTCTGGCGGCAGAAGTAGTTACATGCAGGCTTTTGCCAGAAGCTATACTTGAAATCACAGTGAAAGGAAGTATTTCATTTTAAGACTTAAACAGTAGAAGTATCTAGTGCCCAAAACCCACTTTGCACTTTTGAATACAAGTTTTTCATAAGTTAATTGACTGCAGTTCATCAAGCCTTTTTTGGTTTTAACTTCATTTGCTTATGTCAAACCTAACTTTCAGCATTTGCTCTATTTGCTTCCTGCAGAGTGCTTCACTTTATTGCCTATGATTTACTTAAATTAATGCTATCTCTATTTAAAGAACATTTTTTTCTGCTCAAAGCTTTAGAGAAAAGAGTTTTTCTTTAGAGATACAGTTTTAGTTGATAGTTTATATAGTTTATAGTTTATTTTTCCAGTGTTTCCAATGTTTACTTACATTTCATGCCATCTAGTAGCTTGGTTAAGGATGTTCTGTTTTCTTTCAGCATAAGACTTTCTGATAAATAACTAAATAAAAACAAAAGATTAAGTCTGAAGTTCTTAAAACATGTCAGTTATTTTTGGCAGCTACTACTACTAATTAATAAAAAGCACAGGGTGAGCTACAACCAATGCAAGCGACAGTCTTCGCCAAGTTCCGTAGTCTTCCCTTTTTCTAGGGAAAGCATAGACTTATGGATAGACTACAAGGCTCCAAGATTCCAAGATCTTCCAGTGTGCATTACCTTAAACCTTATTTACTATACAGACATAAAGAGACTTACTACTTGCAGCTTCCAGTCTGAAGCAAAAGAAAATAATTTCTGTAAACTGACAGCTGCTCTTTTAGTATTGCTACTCTTGTAGTTTCAGTGCAACTGCAACATTAGTTCCCATCACACCTAGCAGCTTCCAAGCTTGCTTGGAATAACAAGTGACCAGACTAAGATTTAGTTTTTCATGAACATGCAAACAAAGTTCCCATGCTCCAATTCCTGTACTGTTTACAAATTACTTCAGGTTCTTTTCCTAAGCATGCTTTTCTGAATCACAGCATAAAAAGAACTATATGTTTAGGAATTAAATCAGCAACTTTAACATCTGGATAAGGACTTGAGTATTGTATGTTATTCTTAGAGGACAATGAACATAGGGCATTCCCCACCCCAACTTTCTCTTTTAAAAAGCCACCAATTTAAAGTAGCACCTTTTAGTTAGCCCATTTTTATGGAAATCACATTGTTGGAGCAGCCAAATACAGTTCACTGTTTCTGCATACCTAGCTGTCAGCTAAAGAGAAATTCCCTTTGACTTTGAAGTTTTAAATGTCTCACTGTTTAAAAGGTGCTTTGTACCCTCACTTCCCACTCTTTGGCTTTTCTTCACTCACTTATCAAGATTAGTCTGAAAATCTTGTTCTAACTAGGACAAAGTCAATTAGAAGAAGCAAAAACAGAAAAAAAAAAAGAAGTTCAGAAAGCTAACTATGCATCTCCTACTTTTGGAATCAAAAAACAAAAATAGCATGCTTCAGTTTTCATTAAAGAATGCACCAGATGTTCTAATAATCAGTAAACACATGCTTACGCTTAACTACTTAGGAATGCCTAAAACAAAATACATTGCTTGCAGCATATTGTTACAATGCAGGACGGAAGGAAACCATACCTATGAAAAAAAATAAAGCCTACCTTTCCATATTAATTCCCACTCTTGAAGCACTAGATAATATAGAAGTCAGAGCTATTTGTGAGGGAGCAAAGAGCAGATACGCATCTGTCAGAGCTACTCGATTAAGAAAGTCATCAGCTGTTTTCCTCAAAACTTCAGGATTCTCCAGCATTGGATAACGAGTCTAAAAAAAGAAAACCACACAAGTAAGTATTTATGAAATCAGGAAGCTGGTCCTGATTTTCACAAGTTCAAAACAAACAAATCAACAGTGCTGCATGAAGAAAAAAGCAGCACGTCATCTTATTCTGAAAGACAATCCAAAATGCTTAGAGGCCCTAACATAGGCAAGTGTCTGAAAGGAAATCTATTTATCTATCGTGTTAGGATCTAGATCTTTCCAAGCAATGAGACAAAAGTCTCTTCTAATACGATCCTAAAGGTGTTTGCATTGCATCAGCATGCATCAGCATATGACATACATAGCATATAAAACAGTATTACCTTCAAATCAATTAAAAATCCTTCAAATGGTCTGTACGGATTGTGGACAATAAGATGGAAGTTCAGCTGTTGAATTAGTAGTAGTTCATATTCCAGTATCTGCTCAAGAGTTTTTTCCTGTCCAAGAGGGCTTTCTCGAAGGTTACCAACAAACTGTGCACTGGACACATTAAATTCATCTACTTTACATGCCAAAAATGCACATGTAAGCCTTGAGAAGAGAGGAAGGAAAAAAAAAAAAAAAAAAAGAACTAGTATCTGTCAGCATCCAATTCATTATCAAAAACTCATTCAGAAAATGTGAATCTTCAGAACACTGTGTTTAGAATACCGTAAGCATCTCCAACTGGAAAGTGACTATTTTCTGTCTTTACCTGTATTTAAGTTCTTTAACTTCTTTTCGATTTTTTCCATCTTTTACAAGTATATACATTATGCTTCTTATTGTTCTACTGAATACAGTAACTCAAGATGTGTTGATAACTCACATTATTATCCGAGGATGATACTCCATCACTGAGTTATTGAGGTAAAAGCGCTTGAAATACATACAAGCTGTTCCCTAAATCAAAAAAAAAAAAAGGAGGAAGGAGAGAAGTAAGTACGGAAACAAAACTAGACTTAAAAAAAGAATGTAAACAGAACAAATAATTATAAGTATACAGTAAAGACAAACCAAACGCTAGGGCTACAAGTAGAAGCACATGCTGCCATGTTAGTAAGTATCTCACAGTCTAATATTATTCCTATAAGGATCTTACAAAATGGTAGTTTGGTTAATTTATATTCCAGATGGCAGATTCAAATCCAAAGCCAGGCTCTTTCCTCCAGCTACATTTCCAATTTGATTTGAACATCATGAGCATGTTACCAGGTATTCAACAACATTATCGCGCCGAAAACAGACAAAGAAGCAAAACCAATTTTTGAAGTACTGCTATACTTGGCGGGGGGCGGAAGGAATTAACACTCAAAGGACGTTTTTACTTTCAGAAACAAGCAAGCAGCAAATGCAGGTGCAAGAGACACTGAGGGACAACACTTGTAGCTTTGTTAGTCATCACCCTGAAGACACTGCTCACTATAAGCACATCAAATCACACTGGAGAAGCAGTAATGCCCCAGACAATCTCTTCTTGGCAGAAGGGCTAGCCGTGTCACTAAGGGAAGCTTGCTTCTCAAAACGCAAAGCCCAAACACGTCTCCTTACCACCACAGACCGAGGCATGGAAGGCTTAAAGACAGCACAGAAATCCAGTAGCCTTTTTTCGTAGTACTTGCATATCGCCAGCTCCTCATGCGGCTCCAGAAGGAAGGTGTCTGCCTGCTGAGCCTTTGGGGAACAAAACCGCACTTGAGGCTGGCGCCGCCCGACGCCTCGGCGCCCTACCCGCCCCCCGCGTCCCTTCAGCCCCTCACCTTTCCGCCCGCCGTCGCCTTGCCGCGGAACTTGCGGTTCGCCTCGG